CAGTTTTTTCTACACTGACATTACAACGGTCGTGTACTGCTTCAGGAGTTTGCCGTCCTCCAAATAAACTTCCTTCCCTGAAGAATAAAGACCAAGTTCTTGAGCTAAACATTTTTCAATGTAAGATCTTTGAGAGCCATCATCTAATAGAATGCGTACGTATTGGTTTCGACCTTTATTTCGTAATCGTACAAGGAGTGTTTTAAAAATAGAGTTGATGATGCACTCTCCTCCTTCCGAATAGTATTGTCGGACTTTATTTCTTCTTTCCTAATTGGTTTAAAAGATGCATTATTATTTACAAGTGGTAGTTCAGAACATAAAACTGCATAATGTCTCTTTGAACATATTATACGCTGAACTTTTGTAACCGTGATGTATTTTTGTTTTGTGCACCTGTCAACTTCGATGAATAATTAGTTTGTTTATTTATAGGTAACCCCTTGAAATTCATTTAATCAAAATTATATTTCGTTTTTATAAAAGTTTAAAAAAAAATCATTTTTGAATTTCAGTAATGAGAAATTTTTAATGTGTTGTTACTTTTTTACAAATCAAGGATTGAGAACAAAAGTTTTATTTAAAAATTTATTCATAGGGTGAACTAAATGTTTATTTGGTAAAATTCGAAAAAGGAGAAAAAAATCATTTTTATTCAAAATCAATTATACTATTAAACTACTGGAAGTTTATTGAAAGCTAACTATATTTTAATTCAATGAAGCCTAATTTTTATATTCTGAAACCTAAATGCCAAAAATTAATTTTCTTTTAGGTCAAAAAATGTTTGGTTTAGTAACATTAAATAAATTATTATAATTATTTAGAAATACGGGAAGAAATTTACACCCAAAGGTAGATAAGTGACAACAACAACAACAACACACACATATGGTTGTCAAAAATTTTGGCCTGTCAATTATATAAATGGATTCATTTTATATTAGCGTTAGCGAGTATTTTTTCTAAAATGTAAATTATTATTATTGTTGTCTATTCCCAATGGACAAAATTTTATTTTTTTGATGACTTTATTTATCCCTTAGTGAAAAAATTTATATTTTTTACTTCAAAAAATATGCTAAAAATATGTAAATCGCGTCTTTTTTTGGAAACATTCGAAGAAATTGTTCTATAAGTACTGTCTTGAGTAAATTATTAGAAAAAAAGTATTTTTATTGTCCAATTACATAGTTAATAATGTGTCAAGATTTTTATTCAAATCAGTAGAATTTGATTAAAATTAGAATATATGAGTCCATTTAAGATTATTTAAATTTTGTTCCAAGCCACTTTTTTCATTAATGAAACATAAATATTTTTCATCCATTTGTCTGTGACTCGTTGAAGAATCATAAATCACAATCTTTTGTATTTTAACCCTTAACGCACTGGTGGACATTAATGGTTTCGTTTTAGCTGACAGATTCAAAATAGTAGGAAAATGTTAAAAAGACTGCCATTTTCAATGACAATCCTAAACTCTATATATACATAAAACGAATCTGTTCTTAAAAATATTTAAATTTTTAAAGAGAATATTTTTTTCCAGCATTAAGTCTAAAGTAAATCAAGTCTCGATCATTTTTAAAATTATAGTTATTTTGATTTCATTCAGCAAATAAAAAATTTGGAGAAGCTAAAAATTTTAATTTAAATTGAAATGAATGTTAGGGAAGCATACTTCTTTATTAAAAAATTTAGTTTTTTTTTTTCGATTTATGAAATTAGATAGGAAAATACTCACGCAATATTGTACAAAGTCTTGTTCTTTTCATTGTAATTAAAAATAGTTTATTTTCTCTTAAAAAAATTCTATTTGCATTTCACTCGCATGTTACGTCAAATAATTTCACAAACACAACCGAAAGATTAAGTAAATTTTGAATTATTGGTTGGAACTAAATATATAATTAGAATTTTCAAAACTCATCACCGGTTGTGAAAAGTATCCTTTCACTCTTCCACGAAACCCCATTTGGGAACAGCTGATCTATGCAATCAAAATAAGATAGACGAAATATAGTTGAGTGAAAGGAATAATTTACAGGTAAATACCGATATAACGGTTAATAATTAGAAGTTGAGGACAGATAAAAATTTTCGAATATTCTTAGTTACAAATTTTATCACATGATTCTTTTTTACAATATTGCATAAAAAAAGAAATAAAATGGTGGTTCAAAAAATAGCTATATTATTTAAAAAATAAAATAAACATAAATTTTTATGATAAATTCTATAATTTTGTTTAAAATATTATGTATAAAACATATAAGACTTGGTCAAATGCTTTTTCTTTCTGGATTGACTTCGTTAAACGCCATACTCATCCAAATCATGGGTTGCAAAAACTGTCTCCATTGATGTTTGTCGTCGGATTGGTTTTCAAATCCTCCCTATGTAACGTGTTTCAAGACGTCACAAAATACTTCTTCAGCATTCATATTTATATTGAAATCACCGTCATGCCATTCATTATACTTTAATAATAAAAAGAATACAAAAATACTATAAATTATTATTAAGTAAATACATTAAAAATGTCTGCTTGTGAAAAGAAAAACAGCAGCGGTCGTCATAGCAACACATGAAGTGGCGACGCATGCGCACTGTTTATTATTACTATTGAAAAGTGTGTGGACGTCATCAAATCCGAACTAAGACCCATTTATCGAATGGGTACAAAATAAATATTAAAAAAAAAATATATATGCAAAAAAATGAAAATGAAAAACTGTAGATTTCTTTTTGCATCTTTAGAACTGCAGTTCTAAAAAATCAGTTTGTAATATATTCTAAGAAACGTTCCTCAGAAATATTTCTCGTTTTTTTTTTCTTCCCTCTGTTACAAGAAATTTAACAATTGGACATTCACCGCAACTTTTAGACTAACGTAAAAATGTCTAGTGATGTTTACGAGGGAGTTCTGTGACAGGTTTAGTGGTGATTTAGAAAATATACAAGGTCGAAAACTATTCCTGCGCAGTTTGCCGACCTATTTTCTACATCTTCTCTTGCACGATACCCTCGCGTTTCAAACAAAAATTCGATAATTTACCAAAAATATACCTTTTGAACACGCCATCCACTTCTTTATGATTTTAAAGGTTGAAAAATAGTGGACTTATAAACAGAAGCTCTCAATGCATGGATTATACAAACTCAGTAATTTTTGAAAGTTATCTTTCTCAAATCAAGAGATTAGGTTTTAAATATTAATTGATCATTTTTAGTTTAGCTATAATTATATTTAAAAAAGAATATCTTTTAATATTCATAATTTTCTAGTAGATTAAAAAGGATTTTTACTTTTGTCAAACCTAACTGGAAAAACTTAGTGGTGTATCACTTTAAAAAGACTTTAGAACGAAAATTTCGGTGTTGATAAGAAATAATACAAAAGTAATACACTTTATGTTTTACGTCTGACATAAAGTTATTTTCTTCTTTTCAGCCTACTTGAAAAACGTAGCTTACAAAATTAAATATTTTCGTATTTTTAGTCTATATGAAAAATGTAGCTGTTAAAATTAATTATTATCTCCTCTTTAGTTTACGCGAAAAACTTATCTGTTAAAATTAGTTATTTTTTTTTATCATTTTCTCCATTTTAATTTACTTGAAAAACGTTGATTTCAAAATTATTTTTTCTTTCTTAGCCTATTTGAGAAACGTAGTTTTTAAAATAAATTATTTTGTTACTTTATTTTCTCCTGTCTTCTTGAAAAACGCAGTTTTTTACAGTTAATTGTTTTGTTTTATAATTTTCTTCTTTTCAGTTTGTGTTTGCATGTTCTCTAAAATTTAAAGTGTTAGTCAACCAAGATGGAGAGTTTTAAAACTATTAAAATTTTAAATTTATTATCAGAACCTATGCGGTTCTTAGTCAATATGACCGTTTATATGGATCCTTAAATTATTTCAAAGTAGAGGTGGACGGAAGTCTTTATTTTGGGAATTCCATAGTAGTTAGAACGTGTGCGTTTGTTAATGTGGTCGACATTTTGTTCATAAAAAATGAAGACAAATGACAAGAAACAATCATACTAATTTGAATTGTCAACAAATGGTAAACTCACTAGAAAATGTCAGCTATCGAGCTAGTCAAAAAGGGATAATAAAAACTTCTTGTTACGGACAATTCTTCTAATCTATAATAAATAATATTTGCACTGGTCAAGAAACTTTAAATCGAGAAGAGAATCAAATAGTATAATTGAAATTTCGCTTCCTTAGTTTCACAAAGTGATGAGTCGTTCTTTGGAATGAAGCTATCCCATAGGGGTAAATAAAATAAATGCTTTTTTTCAATGTTAATTAATGTTCACTTAATGTTCTTTTTAATATTAGATTTTTGAATCAAATAATTTTTTAAGTGTTAGCAAACTAAAGTAGGACATTTTAAAACAAATACAATATTGCGAAACTTTCGTTAGAATTTCAAAACGCCACCATTTGTCGATCTGACCTTTCCTATACCTTTTTAATTGTAAGTGGTGGGGTAAAATAGTTTCCATTCTGATGTGTTTAAACAGCAACACATTGCCTTTGCTATCACAAGGAGAAATTTTTTCTATAACAATGAAAAAATTTCGCAGTAGTTGGTATGTATGACAAAGGGTTAAAAATATTTCGGAGTATACGAGAGAGGGAAAAAAAATCTTGAAAGTTTCACGTTTCTTTTTTTTTTCTTAGGAAAAAAAATATTTCATACTTAATTTAATTTTCTTCAGCGCTTTCACAATTTTTAAGAATGTTGCAATATTTTCTTCTTCGAATTTTACTCTCGATGGAGTGGCGAAGCGAGAGTTTGAAAGCTGACCACAAAAGAGTTTTCCGCAGAAAGCAGAAAACAAAAAAGAAAGAAAAAAAAAAACTTCCGACTCGGCAGAATTTTTCTCCTCACTATTTATACCCTCATCCGTATCTCAAAACGTCGTCTGGATCTCTTCCACCCCCGCCCGCCAGCATCCCGTTGCTATGGTTACGCCGCAGCAGTCGGTCGATACGCAGAACAGTACTGAGGGTGGCATTGTGCGACCGGCATCTGACTCGTGAGCATCCCTCACTAAAATCTCTCTTTTGGGAACCTCAAATACAGCGTGTGTCTCTCAAAACATCATTTTCACTCAATTAACTTTATTCATGTGGAATTATAACAAAAAACTCATGAGTGTTGTTGTGATGGCCAAATGAGTGCACCTATGATTTATTTGATTGGAACACCTTTTGGGATTTGGTAACACCTATTGATTTATTTAGTGAACACTCTTAAATTACTTTTTTTTCTTTGTGTTGAAAATAGAATGAACTGGAATTTCAATTGATGTGACACTTCTTGGTGAACGTACAGTTTCGAAAATGCTAAAACAACCTGCGATTTATTCTGCAATACCTAATAAGATTGGATAGCAACACCTATTGGCTTTCTATAATACAGTGATATCAATAATAAGAAAATGTTTGTGAAGGTAAATAGAGCGAAATGGAGAGCGATGCCAATCTTAGCGTTCATCAATAGTTTTTAGTGACAAAAATACTAAAACACTTAGGATTTATTGGGTAACAATTTCTTCTATCAAATTGTTTTCTAAATTGTATCCATAATACGGATGTTTTTAAGACGGTAACAGAGTAAGTTACATTTAAAAATGAAAGTTATTAAAATAAAGCTGCATGCATGATTTAATAGAATGATTATTGTAAGACGTTTAACCAACGATCGACATATATATTCAATGTATTGCTATATAAAAACAAATTCTAGTTCGGAAGTAAATTTAACATAAGATGAAGTGCCCTTACCAGAATTATTTTTTCGATATCGATATTTGAATGTTTCAAAATGTGTTGTTATAAACTCTATATTTTCTCAATTTTTTAAAGAAATATGTTAATATTTTCAGTCAGGAAACCGTTCTTTATTTCAACAGGTTGAAATATAATGTTTAAGTTTTTTTCCCTAATATATTCAACTCCAGCTTTTAGAATTCATTGATAAACAACGGATAAGTAAAATAAGGGGATAATTATTATAATATCAAATAAAAGCAGAAAATAATTTCTATGTCTTTTGGAAGGTTTGTAGAAAATGTTCTAAACATTTCTGCTTACTAATTTCTTGGAAAATTATTAGATTTCAATTATTTAATGTAAACTATTTTACACAAATGCAATTACATAGATAAGAACTACTAAATTCTATTTTCCAAACATGCACGAATATTTTTCGTTTTTATTCAATTAATTGTAATTAATTTATGAATATTTTCAACTGAATCCCAAAACTATAAAACTTTAACATTCAGTTTTATTTTGTCTGGAAGTTCAAAATTTTAACAATTTGAGTAAATTTTAATAAGTGAAAATATTTTTTTCAGTTAACTATAGTAGAAATAATAACATTGTTAAATTCATAATCCCCTTTACGTGATTTTGCAAACTAAATAAATAATATTTGCAAGAATAAATAAATAATATTTGAAAGAATAAACAAGTTTGTTTATATTCCTTATCAAAAATGGTTTTTCGTTCAATAAAAGTGCAATATAATTTATATAAAAGCAATTCAAAAACAGTACTTATATAATTAAAATAGCAATACTTGAGAATGTCTTAATTGTCTTAAAAGAATACTTTATCTCCATGTTCTAAAATATCTTACCTGTTCTTCATGGCAAAAGATTTAATTAGCATTTAAGAGCTTGGTAATTTTCCTTAGTGAACGAACAGCATTGGCCACCCCAAACACTGTAATCAAAACAAAGCAAATAAGATTTACTTAAAAATGAAAAATTAATTGCTTTAAACAGACTTTTATTCTTTCGGACTAAAACTTCCATATTTCAGGAATGACTATGCACTTCATTAATAACAATAACATTTAAAAAAGAAAAAAAAGAATAGTTTATACTTAAATAATTTATTTGTAATCAGTACTTTTTCCAATTTTTTTAAAATTGGTAATTTTGAAAGATACTCAATTTCCCGTTTCAGTTTTTTTACATGTAATGAGATTTAACGTTTTATGCCTAAGTTATAAAATCATTCACCTTTGCATTGTTTATCTAAAATGTGTATACATTTCACTCAACAAATTAAGCTATAACTGAATGCAAATAATTTAAAAAAATCCCAAGCAGCTATCAAACGCACATCCAGTTTAGACTGATTTTTACAAGCAATCAAGCGCCAAATCTATGAATTCAAAGTAATGTTCAATTAAATTATCGCCATATTGGCGAAAATGATTTTTGGCTGTTTTTTTAAAACCAGTAGGTTATACCAGATAGCAATGATTCCAGATACTTCTCTGAATATCGATGAAAAAACAGTGCTATAATCTCGATTATAAAAACATGCAATAATATATAAGATATTGCGGTGGATTTGATTTGTAATTCAACCATTGTTAAACTGATTTAGGAAAGACTGCTTTAGGATTAGGATTTGACTGCTCTCTTAAGACAGATTTAGGAAAGAAAAGGCTTAACTAATGTTTGATGGCGAATTAAGTTTTAAAACAGATTGCTGATGAAATAGCGCGAGGAATAATAAGTGATGATCAACGTTTCAGTATTAAATTTTTAAGTTAGAAAAGTACGTTCACTAAAAGACTCGTTTAGCATTTAATCAATATGAAGAACTCGAATGGGTGAATTAAACGAACAAGTTTAAGCATGTTTTAGTTTGAAGAATGCGTTCAGTCATAAAAGCATGTTCCATCTTGATTTCCAACAAGATGTGTACCAGAAATAAATATTTTGAATTTAGGTGTTCATTTGTCGAAATGGTAACTTCCAGCATTTGATTTAAAAGGAGTGTTGTTAGAACTTTGAGAACCGAAACTGATTCCATCAGGAATAACTATGATCCGGATTCGTGTACCGCTGGTCCGGCCCTTGGTGCGTTGCACATTCAAACGCCTTTTGCGAGTTCTGCCTTCGATTCTTCTGCTTCTATTTGTTTTTTCTCTAATATTTGTAACTCTCATGCAAATTGCTGTTATACACTCACACAGAAGAGGTCACTTCGTGCCTGGTCGACACGACCCTCTCAGCAACTCCACCCTTCTACCCCCGACAGGGCACACCATCCTGGGGGTGCCCAGTCTACAACTTCCGAACAGTGTGACAAGGCCCGTTCCCCACAAGAGGCCGGAGACACTGAGAGTGGAGGCCTTTTTAGACAAGTCAGCTCCCACTCTCGAGGCTAATGCGGTTATTGTGAAAAATATGATCCACTGTACCAGGGTCAGAAGGGTGCTGGACTTCCTGGGTGCTCGGACATCCTCCAGGGAGAAGGTGCACGTGGTTGAGAAATTGTCATTTAAGGACGACACTGTGTTTGGAATGAAGAAGCCTTGTTGCTCGGATTATGTCAAATGGCATAAAAGAAAAACATGTCCTTCTGTGCCTCCCCTAGGTAAGTACCACTCAATTTTATGTAATTAGTACTTTTATCTGTATACACAGCTGCATACTTCTGTACACAGGTATTGCGACCCCTTCCTCAAAACCCAAAATGCTTTATTTTGTGGAATGTTTGAAGACTTTTTACTCTAAATTGTAGTTATTATATCGATATGCTACCATGAATGACCGAAATCAAGTGAATGTCGACTTTTAACGGTGAATGTCAACAATCACATAGTCGTTTTGGTGACTGTCAGATATGTTTGTTATATCCGATGTTTGACAATAATTTATTTGTTGATATTATATTTATTCGATATTTTAATATCTTCCGAAGATAGATTAGAAGAAACATCAGTGTTCGGAGTACCGGTTAAATGCAGACTGGACAAGGGCACTTAACCTTAAAAAAAAACATTGATGTAGTGCATACCGGGCACTTAACTAGACCTAGTATACAGTTCTGACATTTGACAAAAAGACTTTGAAAATGTCAAACATTCACCGGTAGAAATCAACAACCACCTGTTTCGGTCATTCACAGTAACAGATATAAAATAATTTTAACGCATTTTCTTTCAAATTCCCAATTGAAAAATGTTACATCGGTTGTGAGGAATTCTAACAGGTACCACTTACTAAATTGTATCCCAAAGGCTAGTTAACAACTATGTATACTTTAATGCAATTTATTTGTGTATTAATCGTGTGGGCTGATGAGAAGATTATATCTTTTATTTTCCGATTTTTTTTATAAAAGTTTTATCCTTTTTTTCCGGATTTTTTTCTGTTTTTATTATTATTATCATTTTCCCCCTAGTTGTTTCTTATTTTTTTATTGTTATTTTTCTTTTTCCCACTTTCTTCATATGTCTGTAATTTTCCTTTGTTTTATCTTCATTTTGAACTTATTTTATGAGTTCTATTTACTTGCAGCTTATGCGCAATAAATGAAACTTATTCTTTTTCTTAATTTTCTTCGTGTTTTTTTGTATTTATTTATTTTGCTGTATATATATATATATATATATATATATCTTCATTAGCACAAATCTATGAAAAGTACTTTCCCTCCCTTATTGATTCCTTCCAAGATTCTGTCAAGTGCCTGTCTGAATTTGCGTGCAATGCCTGTTTTCCTGATACTAGCATGGAAGCCATACGTCTGATTAGGCATTGTGCAAAATATGCTGCTGAGCAACCAGATGTAATTTTTTTCTTTCCTTAAAAATTCATTTAGTTTTTTTTTTNATATATATATATATATATATTACAACGTTTGCATATTTAACCTTCTTCAAAATATTTGGTACTGGTAAACGTAACTACATTTTTATTCTACAAAAGAAAATAGTCATTCAGATCTTATATACTTATGTTTAAATTATAAATATGTCGCTTTTTTTCTCGCTGAGTAGTCACTTGCACGCACTTTGAGACTACAGTATTCCCCGAATGCCCCCTGACGGAGACGGGACGGAGTTAAGCTTTGTTATCTTATAAATATGTCGTAGTGAGTTAATCTGTTTAATTTTCACTCTTATCACACTATTTTTACAATAAAAGATAAATAATGTTTTTACAAAGAAAAGCTTTCCACAAGAATATTTGCACGAGATTACAAATTGACAGCTATGGGTTGACAAAATGAGAGTTTAACCTATCGATTACCCTTAAAAAAAGACTAATTTTTGCACTAATTTAAGAAAAGTTGTCATTTAAATACTTTATTTTGTTTCAAAATAGCTTCCTAAATACTTTCAAAATGATATTTTGAAGCAAAAATTCACAATTAAAGCAAACAGATTTCGCGATGACGCTCTCAGATTATAAGAACAATTCACGATCTAAAATCTTATGTATGGTTTGACAAAGAGTTGGATATCCTATTTTTAATAAATTTTACATTAAAGAAGGAAACTTTCCAACGACTACGCTTTTCACAAAATATTTTATACAGTGATAGACATTTAAAATACAAAGCATTCAGAAATTTTTGTAATTTTGCCAACATTTTAAAAGCCTCATCACGTGAGATCTCGAACAATGTGTCATTGTTTATAAACTTTCAAATCCCATAAAGTGGTGTTGAAAATAAGTTCAAATGAACTAAAAGTAATAACATTAAATTAGCTATTAGTAGATTAAATTTTTACCAACATTGTAGAAAATTGGCAGCCCTGTTAAAGCAAGTGTGTAAGTGTTTGATTCATGTTAATCAATAACTTTCCATTAGAATTTACTGCGCTTGAAATCAAATATTCTCCTAAAGAAAGTTTTCCCAATTTGTATAGATTCTGTTTTCGATCAAAACAATTCAGAGCAAAACAGGACAGAGAAATCGATCAGTGAAATAACACTGAAAAATAAACAGGTAGTTATCGACAAGAGGCTATTTTATAAAATAAAAGAGGAATCGTATTATCGTGTTTTAAACAGATCATTAGAATAAATTACAATAACTTTCGAGGAAGTATAAATAGATTCTATAATAGAAAACTGAGCATTATGCGTAAGGTGCCATTCATAATGGGTGTCACATTTTCTGACACACTCTTCGTCACGAAATGTCACATATCACGATGTATTGTATAAACATATACCAACGGTTCTGAAATAAGCACGTGTAGTAAAACATATTTCTAATTTTATTTTGAGTCCACGTGACATACGATTGTGAGATGAAGTGACGTTTTCATGACACTAATAATGTTATTTTAGTCTTTATGAGCATCATAACGGCCTCTACTTATTTTAATGAATGATTTATAAGAACTAATAGGGTGGAAATATTCACCTTGCTAGTCTTACATTATTTTAAATTAACTGCATACTGTGATATCACACTTTATCCTCACCTTCAAGCTTGACATCACTCCTGGACGGCCCCAATGGTGAATTAACCCATAACATTATACATTTCAGACTCACAACTAAACTGACTTACATGGAGAAAATTACCTTTATAATAAATTGCTAGCAATTTTATTTTTTCTACTACAATTTGAAACACAGAACCAAATATAGATTTAAATATCATTCAAAATTTTAGTAGATAAGAATACTAATCTAAGAATAATGCTAGTTATAGTGCTCTCTAAGTAACCAATTTGCGAATGGTAACCACTGGCTACCCGTGTCATAAAAAATTATAGACACTTTTACATTTTTAATAACCACGTTTAGATAAGTGTACAGTTAGTGTACACTACGCAAAATAAAAAAAGATATTACCCTGAATAACTTTCGTTCTAATGATCGGATTTTCACATTCTAGGAATCACTCTTAATGGTTCCTGGGATTGACTTCAAATATGCTAATGAATGAGTGGTCATTATTAATTAAGGTGTGAAATGAAACACAAAAACGCACTTTCTTTGAATGAACATATATTATTTTTTACATATTTGGATTCCTGACCCTCAAAATAGGGGACAGACAGAATTTCGGAAAGATTTGATTATAAACTGGGGGCTCAGAAGCTATATATGTTTTGCGATAGTCCCCCAAAAACAGCCAAGCAAAGTCGCCGCCACAAATGAGTCATTTAAAAACCATAGAGAAACTCAAGACAGCAATGCCTAATTTTACTCAGTTGCTAAGCAAACCATTTCGTTCAACAAAAAAAAAAATTAAATAATAACTCTGTGATTGATAGGAGAGGTTTATTGACTAAGAGTGAATACAAAAAATCTCGACGTCTCTAGGCAATAGAAATTTTTTCAACTGATTTCTGACCAAAAAGCCAAGATTTTTTTCTTTTTAATCTCCTTCGAAAAGAAAATTCGAATAGATTTGTAAATTATTTATGATTTTCTAAGGTTTTATAATTTGAATACATGATTCAGATAAAATGTGTTTTACATTGTTTTTTTCCTCGTTTATACGAAGATTTTATTCTAAAATTAAATTTTCATAATTTATTATAATTAGATGCAAAATTTTAGAGATCATTTTTACTGTTTTAAACGCTCAAAGATTTTCCCTCGTTCATGTTTTCAATGCGCAAATAAAAATAATATTTAGGCATTTTTAGTAGCTTTGAGGAATGTTACAGCTTATTGATTTTTTCCAAAACCTCTCTGTATGCACGTTTGTGAGTACATAATTTTAAAGGCCACTATAGTATTTATTTTATTATTCATTTTAAAACAAGATTCTTTTCTTCGAAACTAGAAAAGAGATGAATTTTCGCTAGAATCATTCTTTTCGTTCTCAGGGTATTAATGAAAATTTGAATCGAAGATCTTTTCTATCGTCATAAAAATGATCTACTGATTTTTTTTCCAATCATTCTGATGAGCTAATTTAAATGCGTAAGCACATACTTTTTTGAAAAAGCTTATCATTTATTCTGAATGTTCTTTGTAACGCGTGATTGAAAAATTCGAAAGAAGCGAAATCTTTCGCAATAAACAAACAAGATTTTAAATTGTTTTCCATCCTATCTCGATTCATAAAAGTATCGAAAAATAAAAGAAACTTTATTTTGGTCTACACATGGAGAAAGAATAATAACGATAATAAAAATTTCCATCCGCTTTATGCTTATTTAAATGGCATGCAAGTTATTAGGGTATTGAAATAGGTCTTTAGAGAATATTTAAAAAAATTTAAAAAGTGATCTGAGAATTCAGAAGTAAGGTTGTTTTCGAGCATCATAACTTTACTTTTATGATTTCAATTACACAAGAGAAGTTCAATAAGATTGAAATTAGGCCATACGCTTCGTAATAAGCAGAAAAGCCTGCCTATGAATGTATGCATATATATATATATATACACTGAGGCACACTGAGGCACTTTGGGCACACTGAGTGGCCAAATTATTATGACCACCCCTTCAGTACGCTGTTGGGTCATCTTTTTCGTTTATTACTGCCTTAATTCGTCTGGGCATGGATTCTACGAGATGTTGGTAGGTGGTAGAAGGTATGCCAGACCATTCTCACTGAACTGCACTTGCCAATTCCTGCAAATTTGATGGTACTGGAGCCATCTGTCTGAGC